CTGAGAGATTTTCAACCAGAAGCCATTTTCCTCCTCAGGGGGGCATTTGACAACTTCTGGAGACTTTTGGGGTTGTCACAACTGGGTTGAATGGAGGGTGCTTCTGGTATCTAAGAGGTAGAGATCAAGGATACTGCTCACATCCTAAGTGCACAGGACCCCCACCCACAACCAAACGTTCATCGTGCCAAGGTTGAGAGACCATACCATGCCGTGGTGTACACACAGTCTTCTCAGAATGAAATATTGAGGCTACTGCCACCAATTATCATCACTATTCGAAGCTTAAAATGTGTTTTCATATGCCAATCATCCATGTTCACCCCATAATAAATGTACCCTATGTCCATTGTTGGATCACCTTGGTATATTACATACTACATACTCTCTCTCTTTTAACTTCCTTTTGGTCTTAGTTACAAGTGGTTAGATAGTTCATCCTCCCAATGTGTCCTCAAGATAATGTCTCCACAGTCATTTGGAATATTCGAAACTTGCTTTTCTAGTAGATTCGTTCAGAAGAGATCTTAGAAACATGATTTCCCTAGTTCTTTCCTAAAAATAATAGCTTTGCTGTGTCCATTGACCTGGATATAAAATCCTTAATTCTCTGGGCCAGTCAGTGGCAGCTAGATTCCATATGGCCAGCTGTGTGGTTTGAGTTCCAGACTCAGCGACTTGAGAGACACATGCTTGTGTGCCCAAAATCTTGAAAGGAGAATAAAGAAGAGATCGCAGCATGGCCATCTTCCCAAGGGGTGCTTTCTTAACTTTCCTTCTCACACATACACACTCTCTCTCTGGCAAGTGCCTGTGCTCTACAGCAAACTTCAAAAAAAAATTCCTAATTCTCAACAACTTTCTTTGAATATTTAGAGCATGTTATCCTATATTAATCTGGTACAAAGCATTATTGTCATAAGCCTGAAAATAATCTAGTTTCCTCTCTCTTCTAAATCCCTCTGTAGTTCAACAATTTTTCAAGCTTGTGTCTTAGTGTTGGTTGTTTTAGGGTGATAGTCTCAGATGCACTTGTGCATCTTCCATATGTAATCTCAAAAAATTTTAAAAAATTTTTGAAATATTCCCTTGGATTATCTTGATAGTTTTGACTATTCATTCTATTTCCTTGACTTTGGTTTTATTTTTCTTCTTTAGTATTATCTGTTTCTTGAATCTTCTTTGTCCATTTTCAATATGTATGCTTTTCTCCTAAGTTCTTTTTTTTTTCCTAAGTTCTTTTTATATGTCTTTCTTTTGAATTAAATAACTTCTGACTTTTAATTTTAATTTTTATTAGGCATTATCTGTTGTATTTATCACCCTTGCATCCCTTTTAGTTTAGTCCTTCTTTCTTTCTTTTCTTTTCTTTAGAGGTTTTTGTCTTAGGGTGCATACACTTGCCAGAGAGAGAGAAAGAGAGAGAGAAATCACATTCCAGGGGGATGGCCACATGCAATCCCTCCCTTTGCATTCTTCTCCCAGAATCTTGGGCACACAAGCATGTGTCTTTCAAGTCACTGAGAATAATGTAATTCCACCATGGGAATTTACATTATTTTGTTCCAGTCATCTCTGCATTTCAAGTTTTTTTAAGCTAGTATTATCATTACTAAACTATTGTCTCTTACTAATTCATTAACCTATTCATTACTAGAAATCAATGACTTTCTCCTTAACCTTGTCCTTGGATGCATTTCCTACTGAATCTTGCACTTTCTCCATGCATGTCCTTCCAGGTGTTCCTTTCTTGTCATTGGCTCCCTATCCTTTCCGAAGGACACTGGGTGCCACGATCCTGTTGGTGGTGGTATCATGGGTTGAAACTGGCTCCGTGCGCTTAGAAATGCAAAATAGCCTTCCCCCAGTGAGAAGATGACTGGGGTTTAGGGTGGAAGGAGTGTGTGTGTGGGAGAAATAATGACGGTTGGTGATTGTTGGGGACACATGGTTGGTGGCAGAGCTGACTATTCTTGACTGCCTGGTGAGGAGTCTCTGATAGCTTACGTTTGTTATGCCAGGGGTGCCTGCTGGGCACCTTGGGGCCCATGGCTGTTCCAACAGAGAGAACCGGAGGGGCTGACATTTCTTCTTAAATACACAAGGACGTGAGCCAAGCAAGGGGGAAGAAATGAACACATTTCAACATGTCCTTTCTGTTCAGACACAATGTATGTGAGTTTTACATATATGTTTTTCTGTAATTCGTAATTAAGTGACACATCATGGCCATCTAGAGCTGCCCCTTGTCCAGTCTGAGATCTTTGCAATGACAGGAAGCTGACTACCTGAGAAGTCAAATAACCCCCATTCAGTTCCAGACAGGTGACAAAGGAAAGTCTACAAATTAGAGACATGGAGAAGGCCTTCCTGGAGAAGGAGATGTGCTGAGTGTGAAGAAAGTAACTTAGAAACAAAGAACTGTCAGAAACTGCCCATTCTCCCTCCTCCTGCCCTCCCTTCCTTATTTTTTTATATGAGTAAAAAAGAAAGAATTACAGAGAGACTGTCTCCACAGCTTTCATGCCACAGTCCAGCCCGTTTCAGGTGACCTGGGTCACAGGAACACGCATACTCAGGAACCTGGGACATGAAACCTATACCTCTTCCGTGCAAGTCCAGCTATGTTACACTGAGCCACTGCCCAGTTCCTGTCTATGCTAGTAGTGTCACAACCTTCCCCCTCCCATCGTACCTTGTGCTAGCCTGTTTCCAGTCCATAGAGAGCAATTGAGCAGGATCCATGCTGGATGGTCAAATGCAGTCCTCAAAACTCATATATCCAGCTGCCCAGTGTTCAAGAGAGAGCAGAGAGACTGATTGCTTGAGTCAGAGTGGGTTCTTAATCTCACTTAGTTGCTCACATAGTCTCAGACTTTTTTTTTTTTTTTTTTTTTTTTTAGAGATTTTTTTGGTATGGGGCCCATGTGCTAGCCAGAGAGACAGAGAACAAGAAATCATCCCCTAGGGGAGATGGACATGTTGCAAACCCTTCTCCATTTTCTTCTCAAAATTTTGGGCGCACACACATATGTTCCTGGAGTGAGTTTCAAGCTGCTGGGTCCAAGACTTGAACCATGGTCAACCATGTGGGAGTTCACCACCTTAACCACTATGCCATGTGCTGCTCCTAGTCTCAGCCTTCTTTTTAGGGCTTTAATTGCATTTCAAGATTGCTGCAATACAAAGGGTCTTTGAAAAACATCATGGAAGATATGTATATGAAAAAGTAATGCACAAATTTCCGATTTTTGCAGCAAAATAGCATATTTTTTAATTGCATTTTTTTCCCACAAACTGCTTGAAGTCCCCTCGTAGTGATTCCTAACATTTTTACATATGGCAGTTAAACAAAACACATCACTCTTTTGTAACTGGTTCCTCCGGGCTACCATTTAAAAATTCCTACCTGCCTTTTTAAATTTTGAATGAGATCTACATGTTTTCTTATGAATACTGGTCAGAAAAAGTTGATGTGAAGCATAAAAAGTGACTTTTCCCACCCACCATCAGTCAATGTGAGAACGTATATAAATCTATCTCAAAATAAGCACAGTGGAGAAAATGAACACTCGTGTGAGAACTCTAGAGTGGGGAGAAGTTAGTCAGAGGGCATGAGAGGGTGGTAAGCACAGCAGAAAGTAGGACAGGGACTAAAATGTCTTCTAATATAGGCTGTCTTTTCATTAATTGCACCTGGACAACTGTGTCTATGGGAAATGCTTCAGCAGAGAACCGCGGCCATTAGTCTGATTCAGCTTAACGGCAATGCTGACTGGAGGAAACTTCCAATGTGCACATGGCTTGACCATCTATTTTAATCAACTTTGCTAGACAGTTGCTTAACCATGCACATCTATTTGCCAGCTTCATCCATTTTCAAAGCACCTGCCACTGGCCAAGTCTCATTGTCTGAGTGATGGCTGAAGGTCAAGGAATGGCTTTGATCATGGTGGTCAGGTGGCATTACAGGCAATGGGCAGATGTGACAGTTTAAAATGAGCAAAGCTGATTTTGTGTAAATTCCAGGTCATCCTCTGCCATCCACTTGCTAGCTGTCTCTCACCAACTACACTTCTCGAAGGCATCGACTCCGCTCATCTTCTCACTTCCTCACTTTACGTGAATGCTCAACTCCTTGGGGTGTGGCTTCATCCTCACCACACACCACACCAAAATGTCGCCCTTCAGTTCTCAGACTGGACACTGCAGCTCACTCCAGCACTTGCCATCTCTATTTTCTCCATTCTCCTCAGACACCTCGTTTTAGGTCTATGTCCTGCAGAAAGCTGAGTTTACCCCCATTACAGTTGGTGTGGCCATTTTAGCCTCAGCCCAATGGCTTCCTCCATCTACTTCTCTCTCTCTAAAATATGCTCACTCTTCCGTACATGGCCACACCAAAGATACTGAAGAGTCCCACCTTGTCCAACAGAGAATTTTCTCCTGAAATCCAGATTGTTCGTTTAACTCTAGATGGTCCTAATAATCTAAGCAGCACCGTAGGCATTAACTTAAACTCAGTCGAAGGTGCCATCATTTCCTCTGGGCCCCTGTGTTCTCTCCATCTCGTACTCAACAAAACGAGGAGGCACTCATGACTCTTTAGTATTCTTAATCTCCCACAGAAATGAGAGCTCCAAACTCCATCCATTTTTGCTTTGCAAGTATTTCTTCTAGCTGTAACCTCCTCTCTCAGCCTACAAACTCTAGTCAAGCCTATAACTACTCTTGGTAAGGAATATTACACCAACCTTTGTTTATTTGACCAGCCTTCAATCTTTTCCCTCTCAACTTCATCTTTCACAAAACCAATGGGATGATCTATCCAAAATTTTAAGCCACCTGTATCATTCCATGCCTTGAAATCTTTCTCTGGCTTTTTGAGATTTGTGGGTCAGGTAGTAATTTGTCCATTGTAGCGTGGCCTCTGTTTTCCCTCAGACTTTACCTTCTGTGTTTTATATTCATTTTTATTATTTTTTAATTTTTTAATCCAAAATGTGTTTATTGGGATGGTTTCCCACTCATCTTGAGTCAGGATGCTTCTAGTGCTGCTTCCTCCTGAAAGAACATCCTTCTGTAAGCCTCGCTTTTCCTCCTGTAGGCTGGCAGAGGACAGTAGAGCAGCCAACGCACAAAACTACCGTTTGTGCGTGGCTAAAGACTGTGGTGATTTTATAGCATCCTGGGCACTTCACATCCATGAAGTAGGAATTTGGGCTCTGCACCAGGCGCTTCTTCTTGTGTTTCCTCTTCTCTTCGGGAGAAGGATGAAGGAGGTCCTTTGCAAGAGGCATGTTCTCATGGGGAGGTCGTCACCACTGGAAAGCCTGTGTTTTATATTCTAACCACACTGGAGTTCCATGTGATTTTGGTAAATACAGACCTTTTTTTTCTTCTCTGCCTTTGGTCCTACCATTCCTTCATCTGGAAGGTCTTCTTCCCACATCTACACCAGTTTGATGTTTTTCCTACTTTAAGAGTGACTTTAAGTTCTACTCCTTGGGAGGATTTTTTTTTTAATTCCATCCTGCCCACCTCATAAATTCATTCTGGTTGATTATGGGAACTCCTCTAGTCCCATAACTTGCACATTTCTCCTTGCTCGAACTTACCACGAAGTACTGAGCCCGATGGCGGAGCTCATCTTATCTTTATTTCTTTATTGTCTAAGATTATTTTTTATGAAACTCAGGGAAAGTTGCTATCTTCTCTCCGGCCATTCCACATCACCTAGATGAGTGGCCAACTCCTAATTCCCATAGGGGAAATAAACTATTAGGACAGAGCATCACTCTGTGGATGCCCATACCTTCCGAGTCCACACTGGGCATGTATAATTGGGCACTCAAATTCCTAAGATTCCTGTCCTGAGGGAGGAGAATAGAAACACACATGGAAGCCTGTAGATTCAGAGGACCCAGCTACCATGACAGACCTCCCCCGTGAGTATTCATGACATGATTCCACAATAAAACTCCATGCCCTATGCTCTTGTCCTTGTCTGGCAGCTGTCCACCTGCATGTCTTTATTTCTGTTAAAAATCTTTACTCTGCGATTAAACCTTCTCTTTTCCTACTTTACACGTGTTTGTGGTTTTTCATCCTGTGTCTCGGGTAGGTCTCTATTATTTGAGATCTGAACCCAAAGAACTGAGTACATCACACAATGCTGCTCAACTCCCCCAGGTGATAATACCAGAGGCTTAAAAATAACAGCGTACAGTACAAGCCCAGCGAGTGTGGTAATATACAACGTTACATTAAATGGGTATGACGGTTGAACTCTAGAATTTTCCTTCCAGGTTATGTGTAGACAATTATGTACGGGTATTTTTCAGAACCTTTCTGTGAATTTCCGGGGTCCATGGTGATAGATAAAAGGGAGACTGGCTAGGAAGCCAGCTTTAATGATCTTTCTTATAATTAAATAATGGAGTTGATTTGACCTTGACTTTATGTTGACTAATATTAAAATGGCTCCAATGTGTTGTAACTCATATTTACTTATATTGTTTCCTTTTGTTTTTGATCTTTTAATATCCTTTTATAATAAATGTCTTATAGATAGATTGTTTGGTTTATATATATTTTTTGTTTGTATTGTTCTTAATCAAAGGAAGTGAGAAAGCAAGCCACCAGGTTCAGGACTTGAACCGTATTCAGCCATGCAGGGAGTCTAGTGCCTTAACCACGAAGCCATCTGCTGGCCCCCAATGAAGGTTTTTATTAACACACAATTTTTTGTGCCCATTTCACCAAATGTTCTTACTTGTCATTGCTGACCTCAGCCTCATATTTGTGATATTCTCCCTTATCTCATTGAGGCTTTTTATTATGCTCATTTTACGTTCTCGTTTTGTCTCCTCTTTAATTCTGCTCACTTTAGCATAGGTTTTCTATTTGTGATCTAACTTCCATATTGCATGTGCTTCATAAATACCTCTATATTTTCCTCAGGGAGCCCATTTTCTTTTGGATCTATTAACTATATTGGCTGATGATATACAGCCAAAGGGAAAATACCTCATCCTTAGCTTGTACTCCATCAGGAGGGTTAGGGAAAGGGGCCAGCACAGGGAACCTCTAATGGGATCATTTCAGTTACCCACGCCCACCTCTTAGCACAAAGTGACCCTGCTTTTTGGGAACCACCATGTCCCCATTGAACTCCTGTGTCCCAGGTGCTGCTACTCTGAAGAGCTTTCAAACTCTCAGTTATAGTAATCCAGTCAAGAGTGGAAATGGGAGGGGACCAGCACTTGGTGTAATGGCTATGTCGCTGGACTCCCATGTAGTCGACCGCGGTTCAAGTCCTGGACCCCGTGGCTTAAACTCATGCTGGGTGCGTGTGCGTGCATGTCCAAGATCCCGAGAGGAGAATGGAGGAGAAGGGATTGCGGTGTGGCCATCCCCTCTAGGGGGTGATTTCTCACTTTCTGTCTGTTTGTCTCTCACTGTCTTTCTGGCCAGCACATGCGACCTATAGCAAAAACCTCTCAAAAACAAAAGAGTGGAAATGGGGTTGGGGAAGGTGGGGATGTAGAGAGGGACGGCCAGTTTATCTCACCTGCTTTTACCCTCTTCTCTCCCAAGTCAGGTTTTAGAGTTTCTCTGGTGTTATCCTCAACTCTGCTTGTCACTGGGCTGGAAGTAGGGAGGTATGAAGTTTATGGAAACATGGAATTAAAGTATGAGTTTATTTTGGTACAAAAACATTTACCATCCATGCATGGCGTTTCATAATATGTATTGCCATGAACTGTTTGAAGATCCCTCATAAGTTTTTCTGTTTCTCAGCGACAACAGGACGAAGTCAACACCTCGTCCTCCATGTCCCACTCCTGGCTCCTTCCGGCCATTCTGCCACACACGGCAATGAAGATTCATCTCCTTTTACTTCCACAGGACTTTCCCAGTTTCTTTCTGAGGCTCTACTGGGGACACAGGAAGGAGCCTGTAGCCTCTATTAGTTCTTGTCCTTCATGTATTTTTATACCAATAGCCTCAACAGCCCCCCTGGGAATAATAAACTGTATCACAATAAATGCATCTTTTACCATTGTTATTTAATAATTTAGTAAAGGACTTCTTGCAGATAAGCTCAGGTTTCTGAATATTGTCAAAAATTCAATAAAAACTATCTTGAAGAGAATCAATGCATAAATGGGCCATTAACACAAGGGTTAGATGCCACCCCTAAGTGGCCTAAGAGCAGATAGCTGGGTGATGCACTTAAAAATCAGAAAAAGTCTCAAGTGGTATATAAATATTGACAGTGCCCTGCTGGTGAGCTTCACCCTCAACTCACCCGCATTATATGTGGCAGGAGAAATCTAACAAAGGTGAGCTTTTTGCTAGCCTAGAATTTCACGGAAGAATAGAGCACAGTGATTGCCTTTATGTTAAACTTGTGCGAGGTTGTGCAGAGAAGGAAGAAGAAAACAAAACAAAACAAGCAAACATATACAAGCATGCTTGGTGGCAAGGTTATCACAGACACGCTAAATTAATTACTAAATAAAGGAATACAGTTGCTTTGCTTTCTTTCAAGATTGTCTAGAGAATAGAGATCATTTGAAAAGACAGCAAGAAGAAAAAGTTAAATTTCTAGAATTACTTGAAAATAAAGTCATTAAACAATGTTCATGACTGGTAGTAAGAATCATAAAGGCATTCATGCATAGTTATCCTGAACACAAAATATACTTCTCAAATCTCCAGAAAAGAATAAAGAACCTCAGCTTCTACTGTAGTGAGGTTAGAGATTTGGACAAATCAAAGTTTTCCCAAGCAAAATAACAGGAAGTTTTCAAAATGGGAAATTAGAGTTTAGGGGGGTCTTTTGTTTTTCAAATGGGGCTGAGAGGCTGCTAAGGAAACTGAAGTCAGGCACAGGCAAGAGGACTGACCTTGGAATGGAAACTCCAGGGATGTTTCTCCTTTAGCATTGGATCTCTGAGATAAGACACCTAAGCTAATTCAACAGGGCTGAGTGATGTACAGAGGTGAGACACAACATCTACAAGACTGACCCACATAGGGAGGTTCCATGTTTGCATCTGACGACCTCCCTGAGTACTCTGGGCACACATGAGCCCATAATCTGAGGCAATCTGGGCTGGCTGAGTCTGGGGGTGGATTGTGGCGTGACCTTGCTGAGCTGTTGTACTCTCTCTCTCTGTTTCTCTTACTCATGGAAGGAATAAATAAATAAATATTTTAAAAGAGAAGAAATAGCTAAAGCTTCTTTAAAAATGCAAAATAGCCTCCTTCTCTGCAGTAATCCAGCAGATAAGAGTATTAATGACATGATGCAGGTGCTGTCTTAGAGCTCGCCTATCTTCCTAAATCAGTGTCATGAGCTTTAAGTTCCTGGGAAATTTGGTAGAATTACATAATGGGCTCAGTGTATTCCCACTTTGCCCATCAAAGACATTTAAACGCTTGCACTAACAAAGCAGGTAAAAACAGTTTTGCATGGTGGTCTTCAATGATAAGGTGCTTATATAAAGCTCACTCTAATAATTCAAATGAATGTTATTTATTTCACCTTTATAATGGATTACATTTTTTTAAAAATATCATTCATGATAGAGGTTATACAGATAGACATGACACGCATGTGTGTGTGAGAGAGAAATAAGCACCCACCACGGAGTCTGATCACACCACACACAGCCCCCCCCTCCTCCAGTCCATCAGATCTTGGGCATTTTCATGTGCACCAGGTGTGTTTCAGTCTGACTGAGAAGGGGATTTTAACTGAAGTTACTACATGAGATCTGGCTTCTCTTGAGCATTACTGCTGGGCCAGCCTTGTATTACTTATTAAGTGAAAATTTAAGAATAGAATAAGAGTAAGGCCTTTCCCCAATGTCCTAGCTGTAGTTCGCTTTTAAACTCTTATCTCAAAACATACACACAATGAACTGACAGCTGATCTTCGTGATTCCAAAGTGATTACAAATTTGCTAACTTATCCTGATTACAAATTTGCTAACTTATCCTGAGTCTAGCATATTTCATGTCAGATGAAAGTCTGTTAGAAAATGAGCTTGGAAATCAGCACCCTGAAGAGGTAACACAGAACATTGAAGTCAGGCGGTCTTCGTTTCCAAAGTCACATGTAAATGTAGCTGACTGCATGTCCTGACATGATAGTCATCCATGTATTTCTAAGCGCTGTGGTTTCGTAGGTTCTGTAATGTCATCGGGGCGATGAGGAGTGAGGGGCATGGGAGTCTGGAACTTCTCAACCCCAAGGTGCTCCTCTGTGCAATGTGGGATTATTTCC